CATTGCACTTGTTTATGGATTGGGGGCCCGTAAACCATGACTCAAGTAGTTCCCGCTCACCCGATTGTCACCTCTTGCGATAATTTCGGCCTCAGCAAATTTGAATGTGTGGCCGGGTATCGTTGAATGAGCCGCAACTTGAGTATTGGGATCATTTCGCCGCACCTGCCGCGTGTTCGGCAATTCGCGCCTTGAGAAGTCTGCCAGTTTCTCCGACATAGTTGCTTTGACCGCAACTGCACAAGATCCTGTAGACGACCCCAGATGTTTCTTGCCGTGACGGTGGATCTTTCGACTTCATTATCTGACGACTTATGGTTGCCTCCGCCCTGTGTGCAACGCCAACTCCAAGTGATGCAAGAAGGCGGCCGAAGGCTTCCGATACATGTTTGGCGTACGGAATCGAACGCCAAATATTGGGGTCGGTGCGCTCTTGTTGGCCATCTCGTTTGCGCAAGCACCGGTTGACGAAGTTGCGCGTGTAGCCATTCTCTCTGACCACCCTTTGAAGATTTTCTACCTCACCAACTTTATCTTCTTGTTCGCTGCAGTGCCTCTCAACACGCCAAAAGAGCGTCTTTACGCAACTGCGTTTGGGGCTGATTGGGTGGTTGCTGTTGTAATTCAGTACTTGCATCGTGTTTGTCGATTTCCTGAATACTTTCGTCTTTAGACCACCACAGCCTTTGCGATAGACGAGAACATCAAGAAAGGCCAGCTGGTTGTTCTTTTCTTCCTCCATCGTGAATTGAATGTCCGGGAAGACGCTGTTGAGACGTTCCTTGAACGTCAGCACCTGATCCCGTTCGATGACGTCAAAGGTGTCATCCACATACCGCGCCCACAATTTCGGTCTGTTGTGTCGGAAAACCAACGACTCCAGCCGTTGCAGGACAAACTCGGTTATGAGTCCCGAAATCGGTGAACCCATTGTTGTCCCCTTCAACCGCTTGTAGATTGATCCGATTTCGGGACTTATAGCCGAGGTTGTCCTGCAACGGCTGAAGTCGCTGGTTCTCTGACAACACAGACGCGTCGCCGCCGCCGCCGCCGTGACCAATTTGCTTATTCCGAACACCAGTCATGGTGTCACAAAGGGCCACGGAACGAACACACAAGAGGGCGACACGGTGACAGGCAGGAGACTGAGTGACGAGGAGACTGAGGTTGCGGGCCAGCGACACACAGAGTGGCTCAAATGTTATTGGTCAAACAGGCACACAAAAGAAAAAATGGCATAAAGACGAGGGCTTTGAGCCAGAGTATCCACTCTCTGAAG